ATAATCCCACTCCGTCTCTCTCCCGTCCCGTTTTCCGTTGTTTTTTTGTTTTTTTTTAATGGTGGGTAGAGCAGTGCTGATTGGCAGGTGCGCTCACTCTATTGGTTAGTAAGACCGCAACTCAAGGCTGGCAGTCATGCATATGCTCTGGAACAGAGTAATATCGCGTCCATATCGCAGGCTTTGCGATTAGGAAATCGCAACGTCTCAAATCGCGATTTCGATTCGATTTCGATTAATCGCACAGCCCTAATTAGTGAAGTGACGAAGTGAAGTGAAGTGACGTGACATGTGGCCAAGTATGGTGACCCATACTCGGAATTAGTTCTCTGCATTTACCCATCCAAAGTGCACACACACAGCAGTGAACACACACACACCGTGAACACACACCCGGAGCAGTGGGCAGCCATTTATGCTGCGGCGCCCGGGGAGCAGTTGGGGTTCGGTGTCTTGCTCAAGGGCACCTCAGTCGTGGTATTGAAGGCGGAAGAGAGTGCCGTACATTCACTCCCCACACCCACAACCCCTGCCGGTACGAGACTCGAACCCACAACCTTTGGGTTATGAGTCCGACTCTCTAACCATTAGGCCACGACTTCGGACTAATGTTAAAACAGTTTAATCAATTCTGTAACAAATGCATCACTCATTGTTAGTTAATGTTGGTTAATACATTAACTAACGTTAACTAATGGAACCTTTTGGTAAAGTATTACCCAAAAAAGGATAATTTTACATGCACCCATTAATTTTGGCGCTTGATGATTAACACACAACAAACTCACTAACATAAAAAGAAACACTTAAAATGGGATTTATGTGGATTATGTTGCTAACTGCATGGAGCATCATAAAAAAATATTCAAGTTTATTGTAATAACGCAACAGTGGAATTTAAACCTGGCTAGTCTCTTCTGCTGGCAAGCGAAGCATTAAAAAAACCGAAACAAACAGATACAGTATGAAAACTTCAGTGTGACGAGTTACTTTTCCTACTGTTAAAATTAACTTTTGGTGCAAAAAATTAGTGTAAAGCAAGCAACAAATAAACAAATTAAGTTTTGTCATAAAAAATATATATTTGCAACCAACAACACCCTAGAACTGTGACAGTAATTTCTTCATTTGCAAGCAAGTTTTGATGATAGAGAGCATCGAGAGTATTAAACTTATTCTTCGTATGTGTAGGCTATTGGTAAAACAGTAACACAATGTTGACAGTAGCCTAAATTATAAACAATCTTAAAGGGGTGGTTCACTGGATTTTTTCCAGGCTTTATTGTGTTTATGGGGTGCAGTCTAACATGTGTTAATGCTTCGTTTAAAAAAAAAAAAAGCATTATTTTTCACATAATTTACCTTTATTCCACACCGCTCTGTCCCTTCTCTGAGAAACACGCTAATCTTTTCCTGTTTTTATGAAGCCCCGCCCTCAGAAATAGGCGATGGGCTCTGATTGGTTAGCTAGCCCAGTGTGTTGTGATTGGCTAAACCGCCTCTAGTGCGTGTCTAAACTTCCCGCCCCTCTCCTCAGTGGCATGTGCTCCGGTTGTATTGTAAACAATGGCGTCGTTAATATCACTTATCAGTTTGAGCCTGATTGACAAGCAGAGGATATTATTGAAGAGGATCGTGCAGAACCTGTGCAAGCACGGCTTTTAATGGTAGGCTTATTTTTGTTTGTTGTTGTGTCATACTTTTAGATACGCTGTTATTTGTAAATGCTACTGCTTATGTTAGCTTTTAATATACGGTTTTATCCTGATTAAAGCTTTAATACAGTACAGCA